TTAGCGTAACTGAATTTTCCGTTTTGCCTAAGATGAGTAAGGAGCAAACGGAACTTGCGCTTGCATTTCGCTGAAGTTTACGTCAATTAATTTTCTTCGTGGAGATCGTCCATCATCTCACGTCGCGATAATCGCAGAATCAGAAAGCTTCCCCTTAGAGCTTCCCAATTGTAAAGGGGCCTTCACACACGCCGACCAATAAAGCTGCCACCCGTAAATTTACGCGCATCCGTCTTTCTGCAGTGATGATACGCGGCGAATTTTCTTCCTTCAAGAACCGCGATGTTCAAGGCTCGTCGAATCGAAAGAGTCGCGGCGAAGGAGTCGAAGGAGGCGCGGCCTCCTTCGGGACGTCGCGAAGAAATCGCGCCAGTGGGACGCGATCGTTGACGAATTATTCGAGCTCTCACTGGCAGCCGCGCGCTCGCGCGAGTTTAACGCGCCAGCGCAACGACTATTACGCGTTAATTTTAGCGGCTAACGAGCCTCTCTCTCTCTCTCTCTCTCTCTCTCTCTTTCTCTCGGCCGGCCGTGAGGTACGTCCTTCGTGACGCTCGTTACGTACAGCCGTGCCCTTCTGCGCGAGTCCGCTCGCACGATGCACCCTTGTTTCTTCAGCTCGTTCGAAAACGCTCGGCATGTTAACGCGGCGGCCCTTTTAGGGCCGCCGGTGATTACCGCGCGGATCCGATCGCGTATTACGCAAATTTCGAGCTCGACGCGGGCTAACGATGCTGGTTTATTCCTCTCTCTCTCTCTCTCCTTCTCTGAGAAGCTTTCCCGAGGAGAACACGAAGGCACCGAATAAAAGTGCATTAACCTCTAGAGAGCAATCAGTGTATTCTTCGCTGAGATGCCGCGCTTGTAATTGGCGGTTCGTTTATAAATCGGCGAAGTTTCGTCGAGGGGTCGGTTAACAGTAGCTGGAAGTTCAAAAAGCGCTTGCTTTCTGCCTAATGTAGTGTCAACAAAGGACGAAGTTCCTTTTCCATTGTTTGCGTGTGAGAGACTGGGCTGTTTTTGCAGGGACAGCTACGTCCCAAAGCAAAAAGGGAGATCATACTAAAATGGGACGAAAGAAAATTTTCTTGAGATTTGGAGTTTGTATTTTCGCGTAGCATCCGGCGAAATGAAGAAAAAGATCCGACGACTCACGCCATTTTGTCCAGAATCACGAAGTGGTGAGAAAATTTGGGCGAACTCGCATCCAGCGTCGAAAATACGCGGGAAGGAACTGTTCGGGGTGAGAAAGAAGGTTATGCTGATGCAGTTTGTAGACGCATAAGTCGCATGGAAGCCGTTAAGTCCATCGCTACAAACATCGCTACGCGGGAAATTGGATTTGATATAGATATAACGAATTCGTGTTTTACAGATGTTGCAGTGAATTCTTATTTCCGCTAGTCGAAATCAGCGGAATAGCAGACGAGGTGTTTGCGTTGAGAATCGACGAGTATTCAGTAACTCTAGTCTAAGGGGGATGAAACCATCCTTCGAAAAAAGAAACCACTTTCATTTTAACGTATGTTTTTTTAAAATACGAGACATACGCAAAAATGGTTTGTATGAAAGTTGCAAGGTGTTTCATACTCTATGCGACTGTGTATTCAGATTTCGCAAAATTGAAGGAGGGCGGAGGAGGTTTCAGAAATTTTTCAATTTTGCAAAATCTGAACACGCAGTTGCAAAAAGTATGAAATCCACTGCAACTTTCATGTAAACAATTTTTGCATATGCCTCGTATTTTAAAAAATGTGCGCTAAAAATGAAAATGATTTTTTTTTTCGAAGGGTGCTTTCATCCCCTCAGACTGGAATTCCGCACGAACAAAAAATAGTTTTACATTACGGATCAACTACTTTACTTCCACACAAAGTTTCAGAATTTTTTGAATTCCCGAGTTCCCTATGTTTCCTTGTCAGTCGGACAAATGCTCTTTTCATCGATTCAATCAGAAATACTTTTACCGATTTGCTCTGAGAGAGCGGAGAAAACGGAATTTTGTTCTTTTTATATTTCCCTTCTTCTTTACCTTTTTTAAGGGAAATTGAAGATGCCTTTTTTAAACGAGTGGAAATGTTTAATAATCAATCCTGGCTTATTGCTTCGCTGAGTAAGAATTTCCTAGAAATTGCATTGAAAAGATACACGAAGAAAGGCAACTTGCTATGCGTGTATTCTCTCTCTCTCTCTCTCTCTCTCTCTCTCTCTTTTTCTCTCTCCCCTTGTGTAAAAAGTCTCCTCTGTGCACCCTGAAAATCTACCTCTGTGTCGTTTTCTCAGAAAAGAATCGATACCGCCGTCGGTGCGCGAATACAATAGAAAACGGACGACTTCTGCCTTGGCTTCCCGCTATCGAAATTATGCCAACGTTGACTCATCGTTTTGATTGATAAGAATTATAAAAAAAATTGTACTTGATGGGCACACGACAAAGCCGCAGTGTGTGCGTCAACGTGGCAATTTTCGACTTTAGAGAGAGTCTCCCCTTGAGCGTCTGGAGGATCTATTTTTTCCCTCAGTTCCTCAGAATGGAATCGACGCGGTGTGTTCTCGGTACGCAAATGCAACGGAAAAGCCACGACTCCTTCGCCTCGACTCTGTATCGAAATTACGTGCGTAAGTAACGTGCGCTCGATACGTCGCGTATAGCGGCTGACGAATATAATGGCGATATGTCAACGGAGTAGTTCTCCCCTGAGTAGCAGCCCTTCTCGCGCTCGCGGAAAATGTCACCCGATAATTTGCATATTCTTGTATCGCCGACGACGACGAGAAGTAACGTCGTGCGTAATATCGAGCGTACGTGCGTGCACGCGCATCTTGCGGGTGCGATTCCCTCCGCGCGTGGAAAAGCACTCGGTGATGAAGGAGGCACTGAGAAAAAGACTTCCGTTGTCATAACAACTGAACGTTTGCCGCTTGATAATTGCACGGGCAGCAAATCAAACAGTTACCGCAGCAAATCACTTTTCGTTATTTGTAATTTTAACGAGCATACATCACTGGAGATGCAAATCATATATATTTGTTAAATGTATTAGGAGTGTGATTTGGTTTCGACGGTTTTGCAAAAGATGGCATTAATGTTAGTTTTATCGAAGACATTTCAATCACACAGTGACTGTGCTATTAATGCTTTAATATTAATCCATGATATTTGGTCATTTACTAACAATAAACGCAGTAAAAATCGTGTTAAATTTAAAAAATAGAGCTTCCTAAAGAGCGTTTTCGACATGCGTTGCTTTTGTTTTTTAATCAAAAGAAGACGGCGACTGAAGGTCATAGAATTCTGATAGAAACTTATGGTAATATGGCTTCACCAATTAAGACATATGAATATTGGTTTAGACGATTCAGAGGTGGTGATTTTAATATTGACGACAAAGATCGCACGGAACAACCAAAAATACTTGAACATGCAGATTTGCAAGCATTCGAGCGAAAATCCAGCACAATCCACTTCAGAACTTGCCAAAGCATTAAATGTCGATCGTACAACAGTTACTAAACGTTTACACTATATGGAAAAGATTCACAGAAAAGGAAAATGGGTTCCATGTCAATTATCGGAAATGCCATTGCGAATCAGTTGAACATTTGCATTTCGTTGATCGTCAAACAAAAAATGAAAACTTTTTTGTATCGAATTGTCACTGGAGATGAAAAATGGATCTATTTCAATAATCCCAAATGAAAGAAATTCTAGGTTGATCCAGGCCAATCAGCAACGTCCACTTCGAAGCGCAATATTCATGGTTCAAAGGTATTGCTGTGTATTTGATAGGATCAAGAAGGTGTTGTGTACTATAAACTGTTAAATCGAAATAAAACTGTCACCGCTGATCGTTATCGACAACAATTATAAAATTAATTGAAGCGAGCATTGGGCCGGAAACGATCAGCAATCACGAGTAAACGACGCAAAGTGATTCTTCGCGACAATGCTCTCGACCTCATATTGCATTATCTATAGCATTATCTATATGCATTATATATAGTGAAGCAAACGCTATTAGAGCTGGAATGGGGAGTCTTATCACGCGTATCCCTCGTATTCTCTAGGCATTGCTCTATCCGATTATCACTTGTTCCGATCGATACAACGGGCTCTAGAGGATACACACTTTCATAACTTGGAATAAGTGCGAAAATTTGTCGAAAATTGGATCAATTCCAAAGAAGTATCTTTTTATCGTCGCGGAATCCATCTCTTGCCAGAAAAATGGGAAAAAATTGTAGAAAAAGAAGGAAAACATTTTGATTGAGGTATTCGTTCATCATCTTCCTTAAGTAAATCAGTTTCTGAGAAAAAAGAATCTCTTCAAAATACTCCTAATAGATAAAAGCATCTCTGAATATAATTTATAAGCTTTCTGAAGCAGTTGCGATTTACTTTCACAAATCTTTTTATTGATAAAAGTACGTTTGCAGTACGAACCTTTGTATGTATATCTCCGTTAACCTTAATTAACAGTTATTTAATAGTTTATTAATTTTATATAATGTGTCATGCTAAAAATGAATTCCTACAAAACACACACGCACAGAATTATTATTTTGTTAACATTTCTCCACCAATGTTTAATTAGATGTAATGGATGCATTTTGCTGCATATTATACATTGATAGAGGAGAGTTAATACAACTGATTTGTTTGTAGATAATTTCTAACTTTTGCTCATATTCTTTGCTCATATTGCCAACAAATAAAAAATTTATAATTTGTTGGACTAACATAACAGTATCGTTTGTTCTCATTATAAAATTATTCGTCAGAGCGACAAATCACAAGCGGAATAATTTGTTACCACGATGAAGTCCTCATTTGCTGTCCTATATTAACAAACTATTTGTTGCGGTTATTGGTGTTTTGTTAACCCAACAGAACCTTTTTTCTCAGTGGACGTGCGCACATGCACGCACGCACGCACGCACGAACGCACACACACACAAGCGCGCGCACACACACACACACACACACCGTCGAGACTCACCTAAAAGTTTCGTGACGACTGCGCCTTGCTGATTTAGGGACAACACGTGGTTGGCGAGATCGTTGTAGTGCCTCAGTGCTCCTAATCCATGCGACAATTCGATTAAGCGCTGTCGTGACGTGCCGCCGCTATTACCGCTGGCGAACGGGCCCGCTGTGCAATTTTGCAAGCTCACGCCTGCAATCGGGAGAAAATTTCATTGTCACACGCGTAGTATTGAAAACACGCGGCCGAGCAATAATTAGCAGTAGTAATAGTAGTAATGATAATAATAATAACAATAATAATAATTAGGCGGAAGCGTATTCGTCATCACTGATTACAATAATCGGTGGTTGAAGGCGATATACTCACTCGCAAAAAAAAACGGGCCACTAAACTTTAGCACAATTTTATGGCATCTTTCAATAGCGACAATTCAGCCAAAAATCATCGTATTGAGATGAAACAAAGCTGAAATTAAAACTTGGACATTTTTTGTCAACAACCAAAAACTTAAAAGTTAATTATAATAAACGTTTTACGAAATGGCGGATGTTGAAGATAGGCTTTGATTAATGGGAAAAAATTTGCTTTTTAACTGTTGCATTCCTCAGGAGAATTGGTCAAAAAAGATCGTAGAAAAATGATTAAAGTGTGGATTTGTTAGGAAATAAATGAGCCTTAAATCTCATAGATTTTTGTACCAGAGAACCGACCCCCCCTGAGCAATGCAATAGTTAAAAACAAATATTTTTTCCCATTAATCGAAATCTATTTCAACATCCGCCATTTTGTAAAACATTTTTTATAATTTATTTTTAGATTTTTGGTTGTTGACAACAAATGACCAAGCTTTAATTTGAGCTTTGTTTCATCTTAATACGATGATTTTTGACTGAGCTATCGCTATTGAAAGTTGTTAGAAGATTGTATTAAAATTTAGCGGCCCGTTTTTTTTTTTGCGGGTAAGTATACATTCGCATGATTGTTAAGGCGGTGATGATTTTACTTCAGAGTTCGCTAATTTGCTCTCAAGCAGCGACTATGATCGTCACGGGGAGAATCATTTCGATGCAGACATGTCAATCGCGATGATAGTTGGCGGTCAACGACAGACTCGGTGAACGTATCATTTAAATAAATGCGTTTGGATAACGTCGCTCGCGACGAGATGAACGGATCTCGGTTAACTCATTCCCATGGCAGAGATCAAAGAAACTCGAGGAATGATTAATTAACACCACGGGAGCGATCATTTCGACACAGACACGGTCGATTAAAATAATCGAAGGGAAAAAATCCTCTATAAAACGTACTTAAATGACATTCTTCGTGATTAGCGGATTTCTTTGTTATAAGCTGCGTTATATCTCTACGGCAGAATTTAACGAGGCCCGAGCGGTGACTAATAATCGTTCCGTCGCACCGAGAGAAATGAAAACAATCGGTGTCACCAAAATTACAGCCGGTTTCGACGCCAGCTTATCTTTTTTGTCGTTCTAACAAAAAAATAGTAATAGCAACACGCACATGAGGTTATCGATACTACGATAACATTTACCACGAAAAAACGATCTTCCTGTCTATAATTTGTTCACTATACGGTTATAGTTATAAATAACAATGATGGTCTTTTCTTTCAGACAGTCCGTCGCACAGCGGTCGTTGGTTGAAAAAAAGTACCTGAATGAAATATATATTTATACAGGTATCCGGGTGTTCGGGATCTTTTAGCTGTCATATAATTACAGACTAGATTATTTTGGACAAAAAAGTCCTTTACCACTTTGCAAATAAGTAAGCAAATTTCCATGTTATTAATTAAAAGAGTTTTTCTTAGAGATATGAAATAAATAAATATGAAATAAATAACTTATAAATATGAAATAGATATGATCATTTTCAATCATTAATAACTTAATAACTATTGCGATTTTTGCAAATTGGTACTTGACTTTACTTCGCAGTTTGATCTGATTAATCTTCAGAGTTTTTCATTTCCAAAAGATTCCAAACATCCTGTATAATTCTTCATCAGCGATTGCCGTATTTCTGCACTGAGGAAAAAGTTCAATACTTGTGACTATAATCGCATAGGGGAAGAATTGTAGTCTTAGAAAAGCCTTTTTTACAATGAACGATTACCACAGTGTCAACGAAGACGAATATTTATAGGGTGTTTGAAGAAAAGGGCTCAGAACTTTAAGGGCCGATAGTACTCATGAAATGAAGGAAAAATATCTTAATAAACATGGATCAAAAAATTAATATCGTCGAAGTTATGAACAATTATTTGTTTCAATTATAAGTGATTTATTCGCTCCTGATGCTTCTGTATTCTCTGATGTATGAATCTGTCTATATTGTTTATAGAAGAGAATACCAGGCTTTAAAGGAATCTCTAAAAAAAGGCTTTCCGCTTTTGCTCGGGATATAAATAAACATTAATTTTCTTCCCGTTTATATACACGCTTCACCAAACAATTGTTAGTCACATGTCTTCGTGAACAGAGTGAACAATTGCAGAGAACTTCGCTATCACAAAGTTTTCCAATGTGTGATAAGAATGACATCGTATTATTCTAATCAAAAGATGGCGGAAATACGTTTCACATATAGCCATACACTACAAATGAGTAAGTCGCTTGCTCTAGTCAAAATAAATCACTGTTCATAGCTCCGACAATATTAATTTTTCGATCCACCTTCACCAGGACCCTTTCCCTTCATTTTGTGATTTTATTATCTGCCCTTAAAGTCCTAAACTTTTTTTAAACATCTTTTACGTGCGCTGCAACCACTACCGTTATTTCTTTTTGTTCGAACAACAAGAAGACGCGTGACCGAAGGGCAGGAGGGAGGGGGGAGGCGAAAAGTCGCTGCAATTCCAGTAGCGCCAAGCGCATTTTTCTCTCCCACTATGCATATTATTGTTCAAGTTATCGCCAAGTGGCACGGCCACTTAACGAGATCCCAGAGGGGTGGCTTTTACGGGCCCGGAGATGATCATCGGGAATCTATTTTAATCACGCGAGAGTTCCTCGTCAGGTCCCACCGGGTGGACTGAATACTTCGTTAAATTAACAATCAGTCCGCGTAATCGCCGTGGCGAAAGTGGTCACGGTCAAGTAACTCTCTACGCTCGAGCGTGAATTAATTTCAATTACCGCCGGGCGAGGAGAACCACGACGCCGCGACCCCGTGCGTTATCAACGCGGATCTCTCAGAATGTTCAGAATGTATTCGGAGCAGCTGTCGATCGGCGCACTCACACAACCGCTGGCGCACAAACACGCCGCGCTTGATAATTAATTTATATTCATGCTCGTAAAGGCCGAAGACATAAAAACACTTAACGCCTGACTCGCGTCGAAATCGCGTATTACGCGCGTTTTATTTACACTCTTTATAATAATATATAATGTCGTGCGTGCGCGCGCGCGCGCAAGAGAGAGAGAGAGAGACAGACAGACAGACAGAGAGAGAGAGAGAGAGAGAGAGAGAGGAACCCGAGGCTTATCGATCGCCGTCAGTCGCGCCGGCGGTTATGCACGACTCGCTCGCCTAAGCGGCGATCGATGCGTCAATCAACGGCGTGGAATCGGCAGAATGTAACTTGTCGATTTACGAGTCAATTCGAGTTTAATAACGAGTCGGAGATCTCTCGCCGTCGGATCGCCGGGAGCGCGCGCGCTAACGCGCCCGGGCCGCGTCGCGACACATCGATTAATAGGGTTTTGCGGCTCGTGTTACGTATCGGCGTGTTGACGATGTCCCGGGGTCTCGCTTTATTATACGCGCGTCCGCAGTTGTACGGATGCAAATGAATCGGCCCCGGTGCCAGGTGCGAGGAGCCTCGTAATTTTTCGAGAGGACGCGCGCGCGCGCGCCGATTGAGTCCTCCTCCTCGTGGATTTATGGCCGGGTAATCTCCGCGACGTCTCCAGCGAGCAGCAGCGCTTTACGATCGAGCGGGACGATGCTATTAACAATCCTCGCCTTTCGCACCTCGCTCGAGAGAGTGCAACCTGTGTGTCGTCGCAGGCAACGATCGCTCGGTTTTTTTCCAGCCGGGATCCTCGGGATCGCGCCGACTCGCCGCCGAGAACGGTGCGGGAGCGCCGGGAAAGAAAGTGTTTTTCAAGTGTTTTTGCCAGTTGTTGCAATCACAAACTGTGCGGCAGAATTGGAACTGTGGGAGCAGCATATTTTCTCTAGCAAGTGTTGCTATCCCGCAAAAGTTACTACCAAAGAAAATCACGTTAACGCTGTCTTGGATGGAATTTCATTTTTCCCCGTATATATATATATATATATATATTTTTTTTTTATATTAGAAATAAAAAAAGTCAAACTGATGCGATTAAATGTTTTATTATTATCGAATATTAGATGAAAAGTAGAGAATTTATTTTGCAGCAGGGATAATTTAACATTTAATAAGATAACAAAAAATTCGCATGAGGTGAAATTCCATCCACACTTTGGTAGCCTTTAAAAGAATTAATAGCTTTGTACGCATGCTGCTATCATTTTCTTGTTAGAATGGCAAGGGAATATAATTGACGTCGGAAGCGACTGTGATTTTGTGCTGGTCAGTTGTTTCGTTTGTGTATTTCTCATCGGTGGAGAACAACGGAGAAGGAATTCACGAAAGCTTCCCTCTGCAACATGGCATGACTTTCCCTACGTAAAAGTGATGTTTGGTACGTGCGACTAATTGCAACAGCAAAGTATCTATAGTTAAGCTGTTTCTGCCAGTATAAGTTATTAAAATATTATCACGATATTACTAAAATATTATTAAAATATAATTATTCATTATTACAGTCGAAGTTATGAAAAAATAAATATTTTTCGTGACTTATTAAAATATTATATATGAGTCTTTATATTCGATATGTAAAAACCGCAATTATTTTTGCACCAACCTAATATTATTAAAATATTATTAAAACATTATCAACATATTATTACTGATTATTACGATAGGAATTACGAAAATATTTTTCGTAACTTATTAAAATATCGTTACGATATTATTAAAGTACCATTAAGGTACCATTTTATTAAGGTATCATTACTAATTATTAAAAATATTTTCGTAATTTCCGCCGTAATAGTTAGTCTACTATTGCAATTGTAATCGCAAGAGTACCGGCAAATACTTGATCGGTGCAGGAAGAAAGCAACTA